GAGTCACTTTAAAAATATGTAGAAATGGCAGCTTTGATCCTGCATGTCCCCTTCTTGTAAGCCATTCTAGGAACAAGGACGATGCATTGGCTCTAGAACTCACCCCAATTCACACCTTCCATTGTCGTTTATCAAAAACACAACTTTCTGAAGTTTTACTTGCAGAAATCTTATAAAGTCTGAAATTACATGGTTGAATTTTAAAGATTAAAAATGATTAGTAATCCTCTATCATAAAGCCTTATACAAAAGATAAAGAGAACTGAACTAGCTAATAATAGACTCTGGACTAGTTCTTAGTTCTGCTGATCAGCAGTTCAGTTTTGTATCCAAAATACTGTGCTGATACTTGGAAATTCTACAATCAGAGTCACTGGGAACCACATAAAGGCTATGGCCATAGCCAACTTACATTTCTAGGAAGTTTTAATCAAATAGATATTTGATGGCAGAGGTACAATTCACTTTCTAAAAATACTAACAATCCCTGAAGTACAGAAATAAATGCATGTACCTTAACAATGTGTCAGAAGCAATGTCTAAGTTACATGGAAGCTTGGATGGGGGTAAGATCAACATTCAGAAAATGAAAGCCAAACTAAGCCTCCTTCATAAAAAATAATGCACCAACACGCTCCAGACATAAATTATAACAAGTGATCATATCTTGAGTTCAGGAATTGAACAGTCTGCTGTAGAAAGCTCTGTTGTTCTAGTCACATAATGTGGATAAGATGGGAGAGATTGGAAGTTGTGAGGGACTGAAAAATTAGAATGAAGATGCAGAGACTCAGAGATCTCATTTACTCACAAATCATGGGCATATTCATTTGCATGTATTGCCTTGGAGAAAGATAGAATTGGACACTCATGGAAATAATGTCTGAATTAAAAGCAGAGAGAGGTAAGGATTGATGCTTTAGAATGACCTGATTGAGCAGTTTGTGAAGATAAAAGAGACGCTAACTATAAAATCAAATCCCAGTGAGCAAGTTGTGAACCAAATTAGATCTGGGATTTAGTTTACCTTTTTTTTTTTTTTTTAAAAATGCTGGAAAGAAGTATTATTTAGTGCCTCTTTCAGATACCACTAATCTTAGCTCTTTTAAGTTGCTTATCTGATAAAGAGTAAATGGCTGGTATGTTCATATACACTTGGCCATAGAAACACAAGGTGTTTCATCATGAGCAGGGACCATATACTATGCCATATCTCTCCTTTTGCATAGATTTTTCTCCTGTCCTGAGAAGTATCTCAAATTTGTACCATTGTAAGCATAAAAAATGGTGGCTGTTTTGCTGATCCTGGATTTTACATTTTTAAAAAAAAATCAAATGCACACATTAAAGGGATGTTTCTGTGATTGAATGGTATGACTGCCCTCCCTTCTAAACCGAGATATACAATAAAGATAGGTCAGTCTAGTGAAATGTGCTTAATCTCAGTCCCATTTTAGTGCTAATTCATTTGCTAACTTATCTCCAGCTTGAAGAACAATAACCGTCATTCATCATCATCATCATTATCACCATCCACAGCAACAAAAACAAACATTTGTGGATCATCAGCTGTGATTATAGTTCCAGATTTGCAAGGTACACTCATCAGAAGGCCGTCCTTGGACAAGTACTCATTATGCTTCAGGTGAGACATCTGAACCCACCATGCAGAAGAATTATGGAGAAAGACTTAACTACAACTTGTGAGCCATTGCACATCTGTTTGGCTAGAAAGGAACAGATAGATATTCTGTTGAAACAAGATGAATGGGGTTCTTTAGGAATTCGCTTAAAGTGGTTAGGGTTAGAACAGGCCCCACCCCCATACCTTCTAATCACAGGAGAGACTATTATGGGATAAAACCTAAATATGGGATAAGACCTAAATCATGGCTCTCCCAAAAGATATCCTAAAGTTGGGGGGGGGGGTGCTGGATGAATCCTAAAGTAGACTTGAATCTCAGAGTCCAGTACACCTGAAATCCAGGCCAGCATGTGGGAATGGTCTTGCATCAGTACCTGTACCAAGAAAGATAACTTCAGACACTATTCAGGATGTTTTTCTTTAGTGAACAAGAACTCTCTAGCCATGCTCCTTTTCCTGAAAAGAGACAGGCCTGAGAATTGTCTCTATAAGCTCCTAAATCATAGCCATGTCTTCCTGGGTTAAACAGGGCATCTGGTTAAATAAAGGTCCTTTCTTGTGAGCACATGCCTACTCCCTTTAAAGAGTGAAATTTAGTAGATTGGGACTCATGTGGCACAAGAAGTCGAAGATGAGAGGAGCTCCCTCCTGTGACAGGATAGGAGGTTCTCCTACCTGCTGAACCCGTTAGTCATGCCCAAAGCTGCTTGTACAAGGCCCGTGCTCTTGAATAACCAGCATTCTAAAGAACCACTAGGCAAGAAGGGCTATTGAATTCTCAAATAGGTAAATTAAAGTCTTCCCCATCAATGCCATTTTATAGAGTTGGTCATCATTGACCAGTCCCTCCTGGGAGGATAGAGGAGGTGTGATCAAAGCATATTCAGTTAAGTATGAAAGAGAAAGCTCTGATTCAAATGGAGATCATGTGTCTCCAGGCTCCCACAGACCAGCAAACTCTAGGAAGTGTCTCTTTGCAGATGCCTTGGTACATTTTTCTCAGAGGTGTCTGGGCTCAAATTTAGCAATACAGGAGCTACCAGTGTCCACGTTAATGTCCTGAACACCATGACCTGCACGCAAATCTTCTCGCCAGTGCCTACAGTAGTTTTAGCCAAGGGAGAACTGGTAAATCTGACCCATCCACTTTCAGTCTAAGGACACTCAAATCCCACGCCTTTAGCAATTCTGGGATACAAGGAAGGGGTGACTCCAAAGCAGCCAAATTTCTGTGAGGTTTGGGCAGATGCTGCAGATCATGCTGCCAGAAGAAGTGGGGAAGCTGGCCCCTGGTGGTGAGGATGGACTATCAAAAGAACACAGAGAGATCTGAAGCCAACAATCATTCCTCAATTTTGCTAGTAACAGCCAGAACCGAAAACTACTCCTTCTTAAACATGGCCTATTCCTCTCGGGTGGAAGTGAGCCCTGAGAACACAGGTACGGTAATTCCTGAGTGTTTCGGCTCTGACCTCATTTCTGCCTCTCAGTGAATCTGCAGCTACTTATTTAATTCCCAGAATCAATCAGAACAGATTAGAATTATTTGAATACTATTTGGTATTAAAATCTATTTTTTTTCTAATTTGTGACTAAAGGCAAGTTTTTTGGGGGGTAGGCATGGTGGGAAGAAAGTCCCTAAAACACCGGTTAATAGAATTTGGGATTATTTAATACTAACCCTCAATGTTTCAGGCTTTTTTTTTTTTTTCCTCCTCATCTTTTCTTTTTGTGTTAGCTGCACTAGGCTGCCTCCCAGAAATAATCACACAAAAAAGCCTTTCCCTAACTGGGCTTGGCATTTTGCTCAGGTTATGAAGTGGGGTGTTTGGACACAAGCAGGATGCTGCAAACCTCAGTCAGCACCGTCTGGAAAGCATTGGAGATGCAGTTCTCATGAGGGCCACCCCTCCTTTGCTTCTGTTAGGAGGATGAAGGTGGTTTCCTGGACCCATCTGTTATCAGAGCACATCCACAGAAGGAAGCCACTCCACCCCAACGAAGGGAGCTAAAGATCAGTGGCCTGAGTCAGATGCACTTTCGCCTCCATATTCTTCCCACCTGAGCCAGACAGGCTCTCTTGCCCCTCACCCCTGCCCCCCGCTTGAGAATGAGGTACCACACCAGGTGAAGAGGGACATGGAACACTTTTTAATGTCAAGTCAGAGACAACCCCTCCCTCCCCTAGCCCCCAATCCCACTTTCCCTCACATCCAGGACCCTTCCCCGAGGCCTCTCCCGTTCCCAGACTTCGGGGGAGGAAAAAAAGGTTATCTAAAAACCGCATTTTCTTCTCTTTCATACACACGCACACAAAGGTGGGGAATTAAATAAAATGAACCAAGAGGATTCAATTCTCCAGTAGTCACAAAGGCATCAGAGATTCCCATAATGGGCTAAAGCAAGTGGTTACTGACTGTTTAGTTGGTTCAGTTACTTGCTGTTTGCTCACGCCCCGAGGCATGATGGAGAAGCCAGGCCTCCGGTCAGGGCCTTCCCCTCCGAGAGCCACACCTGGAAAAGACGCTGCGCCTGGTATTAGTGTTTTGTTTTGTTTTGTTTCTCTTTTCACTTTTTATAAATGTCTCTGACGTGTAAATAACCCAGGAAAATAAAAAGGCAGGAGCTGATTACACAATTACCAGTAAACTCTATCATCTTTTAGGAGATCAACACACAGCTAACGCCATATACAGCATGCAGTAATGTCTGAGAAAGGACCCTGCTGAGAAATAAAATGGCTAGAACTCTAACAAAAAAAATATATGTATATATATACTGTATAATATATGTCATCAAAAGAAGCATAGCCAACAAACTCAAGATACAGTGCGGATCACCCTTCCATTTCTAAACAGCAGGTAGAAGCATAGTATTGTCTGCATTAAATGCCAGAATAAGGAGAAATCTGTAGCGCTGGTGGAGATGTTGGTTAAATCGTATGTGTTTTTTTGGTGGATTTGACATAGCCTCACCAGGTGGTTAATGCCCGGTGTGTGGTCCACCAGTTGTAAACCTAGTTAAGAAGTACACTATTTTTAATGTTGAACAAACATACTTCACTTCACCCCTTTCATTTGTGTATTTTTTAGTCTTGTGTTGTTTTTGCACTAAATTCTAGGCTCATATCAGAAAATATAATTAATAAAATTAATAATGAACCAGAATCCCTTATTATCCATGATGTCCATGTAGTAAAACGAAAACCAAAAAAAAGAAAAAAAAAGTTTAATAATATCTTTCGTGACTGTTGATTGTGGGTTTGTTATAGCTGTCAGACTGTCTTGTTTAGTTTCCTTTTTCTTTTTTTTTTCCTTTAATTTTGCATTTTGTAATACACACAACAGTGGCACAGTCTCTGAAAGGGGCCACAGTGGCACATCTGGGCCTGCACAACTCATTCTGTGTTCGTCTCTACTGAATTTGGGATGGCCGACTCCAGAATTTTCCTTGCCGGGGGCAAGTTAGTGGGCAGAGTGGCTGAGCCCGGCCCACCCTGAGCACAAACAGGTCACAATGCAGCTGCGGGTGGGTCCCAAGTCAGGTGTGCGTTCTTTCCGTTTGGGCAAAGAAAGAAAACTCAGCTGTGCCTACGGATCTGCAAGGCCTGCAAGGCGATTTTCAATTTCCCTTTGAAACATGTTTTCCCAAAGTATTCTTTGTTCCCTCCCTCGAATTTGTGTCCCATGAGGCTCTGTGTCTCGGAATTTCATTTGATTCTAGCTCATAAGAAACAGGGGTGCTCTCGTTGCTGTCGGAGTTGCCATTGCTGTGGTGGGCGGTTGCTGTGGCAGCAGCTTCTCCTCAGTGGGGGAAGTGGCACTCACATCAAAACTTGAGGAGCAGGTGCAGGACCAGAAGAGGTAGCAGCCAGATGCAGCCTGCCCTCCTCGACGTCCCGTTGTTCACTTCGCTGACCGCGCCGGGGCCTGTGGAAAGAACACACTCGTCATGGGCTGCCTGGTCTAAGAGGGACCATCTGTCACGCGATCTGCTGTCATTAGGCCTTGCCTCTGATGAGGCGTCCCTCTAACTGGGACATCTTATGTTCCCGCTCTGTATGTGGGGGAGGGGTGCTCACTAGAAATAACCTTCCACAGCTTGGGTGCCGTGGATACACACTATATAACGGGGAGCTTTCCTTGACACAGAGAGAACAAGAGGCTCAGGTTAATGTGTGCTGGTGGTCACAACTCCTCTACTGTGTTGTAACGTGCTCAGCGTCAAGTTCAAGAAGAAGGTGGCAGCATTAATTCATGTTCTATAAAGAGCTTCGAGGAAGTGAGGCCCTTGTAGTGTCTGCATCATCGTCTGACCACTTCTGAGCAGTGTCTGCCTTGAATGTGCATATAACCCTCCAGCTGCTCACCCTGTTGGGCAGGGAAGGACCTGCTGGACACAACAATCTGTCTCCCTGCTGCTGCTGCCTCGGACTTGGCATCCGTTCTATCACTCTATCTTGGGCCAGGCACTGGGCTTCCACCTGCAGCATTTGGCCTCTTCCCCACCTGGACGAGGTCACGGAGGCCCTAGCTCAAGTATCCTGTCCCTGAAAGGGCAGAACCAGCCTGCTGGACATTGAGGTGGGATCAAGTGAAGAAATAGGTGGTCTTTTGCTGTGCACGTGCAAGTGAGGGAAGGCTTAGCTGGACACTAGGATGGAGAGCCTACCACCGTGAACATCTGCAGGTGCAAGGTGCACCTCAAACCTGGCCTGCAGACAGATACTCTCAGGAGGCAGGGCCAAAGGCAGGAACCACGAGGTGCATGAAATATCCCAGCAGTTTCCCTATTTTTGAAATATAAGTGTCTGACCAAGAATGTCCCTCACAAATGGAGCCATGATTCAAGAAGAGTACACACAGGTTTGGAGGCCCAGATGGGGTGGGTACCTAATGCAGCAGGGCACTTTGTCAGACTTGCTCTGGAGTGCTCTGTTGTGCTGAATTTAATGGAGGTATTAAAGGCTGGTATCCCCCCTAAGCCCATGTCCACACCGGGGTCAAGAAAACAAAGCCAGAGCCTGCTTGTCTGACTTGGAGGCTAACCATCAGAGACGCTTCTGGCTAAGGCAGATCAGCATCAAACCAGGTTTTCTCGATTCCATACGGGATGATTCCATCACGTCCTAGAGCCCCTGGCCTGGAAGCACTGCCCATCTAACTTTAATTCCTAGACCTTTGAGAAAAATCTCTGATTCTGGGGCAGTGGCTATGAGTTCAAAATGGACTGGGTCTTCCAATCTCATGTGTCTGTGCTGTCTGATTCACAGCACTTCCAAGGTCAGGCAGTGCAAGTTCTCATGATAAGAAGCCTGAAACCCATGTATTCTGCTCTACACCAGCTGGGAAATAAACTTCCAGGCAACACAAAACGAAAGGCGTCTGCCATGGAATGTTTCTCTGTAAACCACCATCAGGACTCCTTTTTTGCCAATCTCTGTTGTCCATAGAGCATTCTTTGGAACCCCAGGAGAGAAGCCACTCGCCATGCCTTTTAGGCTGAGATGGTCCGTTCTCTCCCTGGAGAACCCCTGCCACTCTGGGCCACTCCAAGATCTTTCACATCAAGACCTTTGCCCGCTAGTGAGACTAACTCTGAGCCACAAAGGTTGTTTCTGAGGCCTCTGTGCATCTGGGTTCCAGCTTAAATAGCAGGGACAGGCCTAGTGGCTGCACTCCATTTTCCCATGCACAAGGCATGAGGATTGCAAGGGTGTTCTGCGTGCTTAGCGCTGCGTGCTCTGGGCCTGACATGCATCTGTTGGCAGCTGGCTCTTTTTCTCTTGCCTTTCTTTTGCTCTCTTGAGCACCTGCACACAGCTTTGCAGCCCACTCCCCCACTCCCTCCAGCACATTCCCATCCTCACTCCCAGCCCTGGCCATGGCTCAGAAGATGCCCTGTGGTAAAGGAGAAGAGAATAAATGCCAGTTCTCTGCATTTCATGGCTCTGGCATTCCCACCTGCAGTCCCTCCTCTGGGGCTGTCCAGCTCCTGGGAGTCTCCAGGGAGAAACATGGAGATTGCCTCAGGCCAGGCAGACATTCCAGCAGGGACCTGGCTTCGTTACCACGTAAGAAGAGTCAGAAAAGCGTGTTGCAGCCAGAGCCTCTGCAGTGCTGCATGGGAGGCAGCTGTGAGTGTGCAAACAACCCCCAATCTTCCTCACAATGCCTGGACGCCTCTGTAGGGGCGTGCTCTGGGCACCGTGTCTTTGGCTTCTTTGCTAAGCCCCCAGAGTTCCTTTGTGGCTCTGCTGCCTGCTGGGACACACCACAGAAAGCCTGCAGAGAGGGGCTCTGACCTCTTGTGTCAGAAAGCTCTTCCCACAGAAGAAAGGCAAAAGCCACTGAGTGTGCCAGAGCCTCCTCTTGCCTGCATTGTTACCCTGGACAAGCTCACAGAGCCTTTCTGTTTCTCTCCTGTCTGAAGCCCACAGGGGACCATCACCTACTGCATTGGGGCCACGTCTGGCCTCCTCCTCCCCCGCCCCCACGCTCTCTCCCCTCACCCTAACCCATTCTTCTCTCAGGCATGTCCGAGAGCACTGACCTGGACAAAACTGGTCACAAATAGGAGGGAACAGGGGTTGACCCCAGAGAAACATTGAGACAAGTGTACTCCAGGTGTCCTCTCAAAGAGGACAACTGCATCAGCTCTCCTTTCAATTGCCATGAAAGTTCACAGACTGGGTCTTGTCTCCCGTGACCTTGACCCCTTGAAGTTTTTCTTTATGTTAATTCCAGAGCGGTGTTGCTATGAGTCCACGTTCATCATGATACTAACCCATGTGATCCTACAGCCTTTACAAAACTTCCCAGCTCCATGGTAGAACATTCCCTACATTTCCTCATCTTCTTGCCCTCTGCATCATCAGCCACTGTTCCTGCCACTTGTTCTTTGGTTTCTCCCTATCTCCAAAGCCCACGGGCGCCACATACACGTGTGCTTACTCAAGTGTGCGCGTGTAAGCCATATTCCCTTTCCTTCCCATCCTCACACCCTCCGACCTTCTGCCTGAAATTCTCACCCAAATCACTCCCACTCCTTCCAGATTCTGTTCTGGTCCCCAGTTACCACTTCCAGGCAGACTTCCTTGACTTTGCTCCTGTTTTGCTTCCATAGCACCGTATGCGTCCAGCTTTTAAAATACATACTGTCTGTGATATGTTTCTTTTTATTTATCTAACATGTATTTCCTCATCTGTGTTATAAGCTCCTTAAGAGCAGGGCCTATGTCTAACTGGGCCCAGGGCAGGTATTTAACAAACGCTTTGCTCAAAGAAGGAAGAAACCAAATGTTTTGATGCATACTGATATGTTCATGTTTACTTTGTCTGTGTGTTTTATTTTCTCTTAAGATTCTACTCAGAGAAAAAAGCAAAAGACTGACTGAACCAAAACAAAACCCTCTTTCCCTACTTTCTGTTTTATCTCTGTTTCTCTTCTACATATGCTTCACTCTTCTTCTATTTCCAATAAAAGTCCCTGAAAGTTTTTACTTTCAGTAAAAAGTAAAACTTCTGGTGAAAAGTTTTATATTTTAAGGAAAAGTATGCATAAAAGTAAAATCCTATCAATTAGGATTTCGGGAAGAGTTCTTGCAGTTGGAATGATGTCCCAGTCCCTCAAAGACACTCAGGTTCGAGATGAAGATTGTTCTCTTCAGTTCTCATTTGTGGAGACTTAGCCTCAGAAAGCTTAAGTGACTTCCCCAAGCTCCATCGACTTCTGTCTCCAAATATAATTTTCTTTCCACTAACTTGGGGCTGCTACTGTGTATAACTTACACATCTTCCAAGAATGAGGAGAAGAGAAGTGAGGCCATGGGGCCTGTCACACCTGGACACAGAGAAAGGTGGGGCCCACACAGGCTATACCCCACTCGCCAGGCTATGGAAGAATTCCATGAGATGAGGGCCTTTTGTCCAGGCAGGTGTGGATCCCAGCAGCCAGGGGCAGGGCCCTCTCTGAGCCTGCATGCTGGCCAGAGCAGCAGCTTGTCCCTCCCCCTGGTGACACGGGCCACGCAGATGAGGCCACTGTTCACGACGCGGCCACGCCTCCACTCTGCCTTGGATGCCTTTATTCCCTTTACCTCATTAGAGAGCTGTGAAGGCCTAACAAGACTAATTACCAGGACAGTTGGGGTCCCAGAGAACTCTGATGACTGTTAATTTATCCATCAGAAACATCTAGCAGGAATGAAAGCCTCAAATAAGACACTGTTTAATTCGTAGCCAAGTGACTCACCCAAGAACCTCCCCTTTCCTTCCATTTTCCCCTCCCTCCCACCACTTCCCTTCCAGCTCCAAGTTAGAAAGAGAGGAAGAGAGAACAGGGTAAGCAAAAAACAGCATGCAAGGCCAAGGTCTAAGAAGATCATCGCATTAGAGCATCTGCGTGTGAGGAGAGGCCAGCCTGGTATGGAACAGCCAAGATGTGGAGCTATTCTGGGCCCTGGCAGGTGCTCATTAGTGCTGCCAGCAAACAGAAGTTAGACATCTATGGGTGGAAGCTACCCAGGGGGAATGGCAGGTCCTTGGAGACAGGTTAATTGAGATTGTCATAGAGATGGCCCAAGGTCAGGGAAGGATCCCACTGGGCTGCTTCCTAGGGTTAGCTCAGAAGACAAGGCATCCAGGAAAAAGGTGAAGAGTTTGGGATACCCATCCCCACCCAGGCAGAGCTGCCTGGGAATAAATATACCAACCTTTCCAAGGGGTCAGGGCTGTAGTTTTCACTTCTAAAAAAAAAAAAAATTAAAAACAAGCCACTGTTAAGGTAGAAAGCAGTCAGAAGCCCTTGCTTTGCCCTTGGCTCTTGCTGTCTTGACCACAGCCCAGCTCTCATATATGCATCTCTCCACTTTCCTGGGAAGTTGCTATAAGGTGGAGTGGGGGTGGGGGTGCTGGGGCAGAATATGAATGATGATCAGATTGGATCATTGATCCAATGAGAGTCAACGCAATCATCTGATTGTAGCAGGAGACTCAGTACATCTTGGAGCCTGAGGCCCCAAGCCAATAAATACTTCTTTGTACAACAACTTTCTTTGGCCACCGGACTATCCCCTAATTAGTTGAAGTCTGTAAGCCTTAAGCATAAAATTGGCTGGTAACAAATGGGTTATACTATAGCAATCTGAACATAGGTGTCCAAGCTACATTTGAGTATAAAACTTTGGCATTTATCTATGTGCTTTATAAACACTGTGCCAGAGGGTCCAGACCTGTGCCTGACCTCCCTGAAGAACTCAGACTATATCAAGCTGGTCCAGAGGGCAACCTCCGGCAATAAGACCCACACCTATGCTTTTGCACTTGCACTTGCTAAGTAAGACCTGCCTGTGGAAATTTACTGTGATGCCAGCTCTTTTCTGATGATAAGACCACAAAAGACCCACATTTCACCAACTTCAAGCCTCCAGGACAATCCACAGATACTTTTCTGCTAATAGTAGAAGTATGAGTGGCTGAAAGTGGCCCAATCTGGAATATGTTTTTTTAAAGATTTTATTAAATTTATTTGACCCAGAGAGACACAACAAGAGAGGAAACACAAGCAGCAGAGTGGGAGAGGGAGAAGCAGGCTTCCTGCTGACTGGAGAGCCCGATGTGGGGCTAGATCCCAAGACCCTGGGATCATGACCTGAGCTGAAGGCAGCTGCTTAACCGATTGAGCCACCCAGGTGCCCCCAATCTGGAATATTTTACTTCCCTCTTTACCTAGAGGTCTCTGCAGCTGTTCAGCCTGGATATAGAGAGGGTGCAAAATTCTTTCACAATGTGTTTGTGTATCAAATCAACATGATTACACTTTAAACATACTTTTATTTGTCAATTATACCTCAGTAAAATAAAAAACAAAAAAATGCATGAAATTCTTTGCATGAAAGTGATCCCACTCTCTGTGCAAAGGTCCTTGCATACAGAAGGAAAGACAACCTAGACATAATTCAACCTAAACTAAACTAAAACATCTGACCAATTTGAGATGAATACATATGTATGCCTTCAAGATCTTTATTTTTCTTTCAGGGCACCTGAGATAGATATCCCTCTCGACCAAAGTGGACATCAGCAAGGTGGGGAAGCCACTCTGAAAAAGATGAAAAGGGTGATGTATGATCAAAGATCAAAGGCATGATTCACAGAGGATCTGATGTCAGGTCGAGGTGGTAGAGAAAAGCCAGGTGTGCTGGCACCATGTTGTCTATGCATGTAGTGAGGACAGTCCCTTGGAGAGATTGCTGGGGCCTCGAGAACCACCCAGAAGCCAAGGTGGGGCTATTTTCATGAAGTGCCTCACTCATGTACGACTGACTTGAGTCCCTCTGTACCAAGAAGAAGGGTGACTATCAGGAGGAAAGATGAAGAGCAATAAAGTAGTCATAGTCCTTCAACCCCAAACCACAAAGAGTTCAGATGTAGGGAACATCTGGGGGCAGGCAGCCACAGACTGGTAGGGTGCAGTTTAGATTTTGCTGGAGGAAAGATAGACGGGAGGTTTCTACTTGGTAGTTTGGTTTGCTGGAACTATCAGAAGATAAATGAATTGAAAGCATACATTTCCATGGTGATCTAAATACAAGTTGTGATTTTTTGTAGGCAAAGATCTGTAAACAACTTCAGCTGAATTGTCCCTATCCAGCTACCCTTTTCCCTGAATCTCTAACACATGCTACTTGAGTGAAGGTCAGTACTCTTTAGTGTCCACCTTGGCAAAGGACAATTTGACATTGATCCTTAGCTAGAATGTATCCTTGAGCTTTGCCAGGCAGCAATGTTTCAAAACTTCTAGTTAACTGAAATGTCCTACTTCCGCCTTACATCTCACCACAATGAGGGGGGAAATGTAGCCAAGATATTCTTTATATTTACCCTGATGCTACACTCCATCCCATTCCTTTTGACTTGGTACCAAGGAGAGATGCAGAAATGCTAACATGTTTTCTATATCATGCTCGAGATGGCATCACTATTGCCCCTGTTTGCAGAAGTGTGGGCTTTGTTTGAGCCTTCAAGCTGAGTGCTAGCCACCCATAAGCTCATGTTTCTGAGTTCGTTCTTGGCTCTCAAAAAAACAAACAAACAAAAAAACACCAAAAAACAATCCCTGATTGTATTTTCCTTGCCAAGAATTTGACTAAAATTTGTGATATTTTTTTGTTGACATATTAATGAGCAGCCAGATAGAATTGGATAAAATATTCAAAATGAAGAAAGAATGAAAAAGAGAAGGGAAAAAAAAGGCAAAGAAAGAAAGAAAAAAGAAGCACTCCCCTCAAGCCTCTGAGTCAATATCTCTGGTCAATCCATAATGTGCTCTCTTTGCCACCAAAGCCAGTGCTTGCAGCTGAATCTAAGCACCTAGGTAAGCACAAGGCTTCTGTCTGATTCTAATGGGCAGAGGAGAGCTGGTTGCATGCCAGGATAGATATATTCACCATCTAGAAAGAGGATGAGAGAATGTCTTTTTATACCTTCAGTATTTAGACACATGTGTCATAGAAATGCTCACTGCTGGATGGCTGGACCTAATTAACTACCTTTAATCCTCTGCAGGGAAGAACTGATCATCTTTCCTGCTGCAATTTTTTCCTTCTGATACAGAGTTTACTTACTCCCCCATTATTTAATAAGTTGGTTTGACAGTCACTGTGAGGTTCCCAGGCATTAATCAGCCAACATTTCCCAGCCCACTGATACCATCAAATCTGACTTCATGCCTAGGAGATAAAAGACGAAAGACAGTGGATGGGAAATGAACAGCTACCAAGACGCTGAGCTTGCAGTGTGGGTCCCGGCACACTTGCCTGTGAGGGAGCTTGGTGAGGGATGGTGGCGCATCCCTGAGTCCTTATTTATCATGGCAGGAGTCCTGCACCACCGAATATTAATACGAGAGGATGACGTGCAATCTGTTGTGCTTGCAAAAGGGGAGCAAGAGAAATACTTCAAGGGTGGCAGCAAACGCTGAGGAGGAATGAAATTCTCTTATCAGAATCTCTCTAGTCTGTCCAGATATTGAGTAACAAAACAGCTTAGAACTTCTCTTAAAGCCAAGTGTACCCTGTCCGTGGAAATCCATGCATTTGTACAAATCTTGGTTGGTATTTCTGAGATAAGATGAGCATAACGTAGGGGTATTTCCTGAGAAAATAGGTAGCTCTCTATTCTGTGGGAGACTAGCAGAGGAGGAAGTTAAATAAATAAATAAGAAAAGAATGGGGGAAAAAAAAAAGAACACAAGTGAATGGGAGAAATGCCCCAGGTACACGGTCTGTTTTCTCTAAGATATTCTTCCGTTGTACAAAGAGTCTAAAGTTTTAGTGAAGACCACAGAATCCAAATCTTGGAACATTCCCGATGTCTACAATCTACAACTTCTGGCAATGACCCGTTGCCCTGTATTCAACAAGAAGGATGTGAGGTTGAGAGCAGCCTGAGAAGCCGAGTAGAGAGCTGGCATACAGATCCTTTTACCCAAATTCATTGTTGCAGCAGAGAGGAGTGAGGCAGGACAGCTTTGTCTCTGCAGGTGGAGGCTGGTCACGAAGTGTCCTGCTCCCGCTCAGCGGCAGCAGCCAGAAGTGATTGTTTCTGCTCTGTTCTGTTATTGTTGGTTCTGGTGTGGGACAACGCCCCCCTCTGTCAGGTGAGTACACCTTTAGGGAAATACTAACTCCTAAGCAGCCACTGCCTATTTTAAAAGCTCCTATTCCCTCTGGAAATAAAGAGCTAAGTGATCAGAATGAGCTCGATCACTTCTGAAAGCACAGCCTGTAGCATCATCTGTCTTCGCTCCAGTTCCTCATGCCTCCCTTTTACCATTTATGGTTCGCTCCTTTCCTAATGCTCTTGATGCTCTTGATTTTACATCAGTGGATATCCCTGCACCGGGGGTTCAATAAACATAAGTTGAATCATAAATTGGACCTGAATACTTTCACTGACTTCACTTTTACTTTCTATTTCTTTGTTTCATTTTCCTGTTTGCGGTGCGTCGCTATGGCACCCTGTATCACTAAGGTGAAGAATGCAGCCTTGAATCTTTTTGTGATGAAAGTATTTTTCCTCATCTGTCAAACAGCTTCTCATGCAATTTATCTCCTTCCATCTCCTTTCTCACCTTGCAGGTCTACTGCCAGCTTCCAATGAGTGTTGGTGTAGCCAGACAGGAAGGGATGTGGGGGGATGGGTGTGGGGGCAAGTGGGATGAGAAAGGTCAGGGATTGGGGTGGAAGGTGGGCAAAGCCTCATAGCTGCCTTCCTGCTGGGCCACCCTATGGTCCTCCCTGTCCTTTGGAGGAGAACAGCAGCACACGCAGCATGGATTCCTTCCACCACCCAGCTGGACTCACTCCAGCCCAAACGCTCATGCACAGTCTTAGTGAACCTCCTCTGCGAGGTCCGTGGACCCTCGTGAATCACTTATGGCGTGCTAGTGGGCCTTGAGAAAGTTGAAAAGGTGGTGCAAACACAAGCAGGAGAGGTAGGAGCTGTGTATGGGGAAGGGCTTGAAGTGGATTAGGATGTAAAGTGGCCGGGGAGAAGAGCTTTGACGTTAAGAGGTGGCACTGAGGGAAATTCCTGTCTTTCAGTCTGCATCTGGAGATTGGACTGGAATGATTCAAAATGTACCTGGCAGTTTCTAAAGACTTTTTACTATGCAGTTTCTGCTGAATGTTGGAACAACTCTAAGGTAGATAAGGCAGATCAATTCTATTTTATAGAAGAGGAAATTGAGTCCCAATAATGTTTAGTGACTGCTCAAGAGCACAGAACTACTAAATGTTGGGCTCTGAACTGGATCTCAGTGGCATCCCACTCCAGGTCACAGTTTACTAACTGACATGTGTGCTGCACCCTGCCTCCCTGCCTTCCTTAGAGAACCTTGCTTTGAACCAACTGATTCATTGTAGGGAATACTTAAATCTTCAGGCACACAATGTTTGCTTCTGTTGCTCAGGGCCCACTGATAGGATTCTTGTTATGAAAACTGTTTGGTGGGTTGGGCTGTCTTCCCACTGGTTTAGACTCATGTGCTCTACCTTTGGCCTTTACATAGATCTCTAGGCTTTGAGAAGTTAATGGTCCTTTTCTTTCCCCCCACCTGTTACTCCTGAGGAAGTGCGGGCAAGGTGTGAGCAGAGTGAGGAGAGCTACCCTTCAAGCTCCATCAGCTCCAGTGACTTCCATAGTATTCACAAGCATCCTCTAAGCAACTTCACAGATAGGTAATGAAAGGTGGGAAAGGGGGTAGGGGGACTCCAGGAGAAAGGAGAGGGAAGAAAAACCATAAAGCAAGGGGGATACTGACCTTGCAACAAAGTTGAGCTTGTAGGCTCATTTAGTTCTAAATCGGGTGAGGGACATACAGGAGAGAAAAATGAAAACAAACACATATATTATATACAGCCGCTATATATTTGTCATATATAGTTTGTATACTGCCTTTCACATACATTTCTGTGGGAATGGGTAAATAAAGGAAGACACAAAAACCAAAAGTAGTAGGACAAGATTCAGCATGAGAAACACTAACGCGCTTTATGCTTCCATCCTTAGATGTGATGGTTGGAAAGTGAGGGAGCTGGCCACTCATACATTTCCCAGAGCTGTGCTGAGCTGGGGGATTGATGTGGTAACAAAGGACCTAAGTCCCTTTCCAGATGAGGTTTCTGTCACACATCTTATCCCCACTGAACTGGAGACCAAGTTCAGGAATTTCTGATCCCATGGCACCACAGCACAAGCAAGATGGCCCCAAGAACCACCATGATTCTGGGAGCCCGGCAATCTCTGCAGTCTTAGGGAGCAGGTGCTCAGGACACTGTTGGTCCATGGTAGAAAAGATGACCCTGCTCCCTTTGGATCCCGGCCATGATGGGGCCTCCCTGTGCAGCACTTCTCACTTTCCAATGTCCATGTCACATGATGAGGGCAAGCAGTCTGCATGAAAGTCGGCAATAATATAGCTGGCTTTCTGCGATGCTATAGGAGAATGGACTGCATCACACAGTTTACAGATTCGCATAACACAAATGCTGTTTTCTCACTGCCATAGTCTGCTTCATGGGTCTTGGCTGAGGGTCCGCTGATAATGGGAGATGACACATGGAAAACTTTGGTATAAGTTTGTATTTGTGATTGATGGTGGGCCTCCATCATGAATTTTGGGGTTGCCATGTCTGGACTAGACCTCAGCAAGAGCCAGTGGGGTAGAAATACCCACCTTGCTCGCTAATGGCATTTGACTAGTTCCACAGAACTATGTCAGCCACAGGGCATCTCAGTGACAGACTCCTCTCAAATGGTCTCTCATTTGAGACTTCAAAATTGCTTTCTTTTGGATTAAATTTGGAAAATGCTCCATGCTTTTTCTCCCTCTTAGCAATTTCGCGGGTAAAGAAAAGCTAGGAGATCTCCACATTAAAGAACATTCCCATGCGTACCCCATTTATCTTGCTGGACTCAGTCTTTCTAAACTTATCTGAATACATACTATCACTTTTCCATGTATTTTTTTTTAAAGAATCCTGGACTCCAGAGAGCTGACAATTGGAGGAATGTCTATATGACACACAGGGTGAAGACAGATAGACCGACGGGGAGGCAGAGGTTCTAATTGCCACATAGGGGTCTGCTGAGAAGAGCAGATTTATGGCACATGCTTTACTGCATTCCTTGTCACAAACGCCAGCTATTGCACTCTCAAAGCCTGTGCCTTCTCCCCGTTCTCATTTTCAGATGGCTTAAGGGGAAGAGGCCAGGGAATTAGACAGCAGTGATAAAGCCAATTGCAAAACCATGTCATGCATCCAAATCAGAGGAGCAAGGAGGACAGAGGAGGAGGAGGAAGACTGCTTACAGGAATGAGGGCTGCTGTGGGTGGAGGGCAGGCCTGGGGAGGGTGGACGGTACCGCTAGGAGAGCCTGAGATTTGCAAGGCCAGGGAAGGAGGAGTCTGTTCCTTTATAATCCTGGCCCTTCTGTTTCTGGAGACAGACACCTGCCAGAAAGCCAAAAAGGCCTGACAAATGTGAGGGGCAATTATGACTATCCCTGTGTGAGAGATGTCAGACAGATCAATCACTCTAATCACAGCTCTGCCCATTCTCAGCAACCAGCTCTGGGATCAAGGGCAGCCTTCCTCTTCCCAGCCCCCTTGGATAAAGCTGAGCTTTGTTTTATGTGTTGGATAAAAGGGGGGTCAAATGTGATTTGGAAGCGGAGATGGGACCATGGAGCTGTACAGGCGCGTTATTTGAGGCTGGCTGAATACAATGTACCGTGGAGGGATGTGGTAGGGACTGGGGGCGAGGGTGAGGTAATTGAAGCCATAAGATTTTCTGGGAGTTCTCAGAGGAAAAGGAATTTATATTCTTACTAATTATCTGGTAATTCTTTGCTTTCCCTTGCCATCATGTTCAAGGGTGCTTGCTACCATGGGAAACTAGAGGGAAGGATTTGAAAAAATCCAAGCTACCTGAGCTTGTGAGGGTATGGAGGAATTTTCCCTCAAAAACAACCAGAAATTCACTCTGTGGCCTGCAGGGTGAATCTGCATCTACCAAGGGATGCAAGTCATCCTTGGATACCTGGAGTCCTGGCAGATACATAGACCTACACATCAGCTCACTTCCATTGTTTGACACATCTAGGATCTACAAGGGAGCTTGTTTGTTTGCTTTCTTTACTTGCTTCTGGCACCAGTATACTTGCCAGATATGTAGGAAGGCAGAGCAATTTGCTGTACCCACATCAGTCCTCCAATAAACCATTGTTGAATGAATTAATGCATGAATGACTATGTGACTTCTGTCAGGATGGTGGCTTAGCTGGACAAATATATCTTAGTCCAGTCAGACAACACCCATTGACACAAATGAGGAGCTGAGGGGAAAGCCCCATTTCCTTCCTGAATTCTCCCTCCGAAGCTAATTTCAGGATTCCCAAGGCCCATGATTCTACTTTTACAAATAGAATTCAGTATCTCTATGTCCCAACAGCCAGGAAAAGAAATGGTAACATCTTACACCACCCTAGTGAACAAAGTTTTGAAATAGTAAATGTTGCTCTCCGAGTGCTTTGCTATTAAATTGAACTAGAACCCCCCATCCTTAGTCAGTTGAGGAGCTCTTGAAGAGAAAAAATTAAATGTCACTTCATCATCCCAACACCATTTCCTCCTGCCTCAGGGTTTACTCATTATAAATGAAACATGAACATTCTTTCTCATTTTTTCCTACTACCGATGCCCATCCATGCACCAGATTTTTTTCCCTCTCTCTCTCATTCCCCCTCCTCTTCCATCTCACTCACCCATGCCTAGCTTCTCCTGATTCTCTCACACAAGCCACCCCACACTTGCAGCTCTTTCTGACTCTTTCTGTCCCATGAGACCCTTTCCTGTTTTCACTGCCCAGCTCAGGGCTCAGTCTTACCAAATAGTGTAATGCTGGCATTGGTGTGGCCCAGCTTATTGGAGGCCACACAGGTGTAGTTCCCATAGTCATGCTCGGAGACATTGAAGAAGATGAGTTTTGAGAGAAAAGGTCTGTTTTCCACTTTGACCCCCTTCTTTCCTTCAACCAGTCTGAAACCAACAAGAGAGAGACAAAAAAGGAGAAAAAAGGAGATGGTTATATTTTTCTCATAGGAGGAAGACAGACTCTGGAATTAACGATCTTCTTATTGCCCCCATCGACATCATGGTGACTACTTTTCCCCCCACTCAACTAATGCATGTTCACACACAAGGATATGTACTTGTATTTCTCTAGTTTTGTGCATGTGCCTGGAGACAGTCTTGGCACTACACAGATATTCACTAAATTCTTTGAAGGCAGATGCCTTCAACACATCCAGTATACCAGCTGTGTGACATTCAGACAGCAGGTACTCCGAGTGTGGACTTAATTGATGTAGATGATAAGATTAATAAAGATGATGGTGATGGTAACCATAAAGAATAAAACAACAACAACAACAACAACACCTCAATCTTCAAAGAGAAGAACCTGAGGACTTTGAAAGAACAAAGTGTTTTCAAGCACTTTGGTAATAAATGTTCTCTTACGAACTTGAGGCATTCTGCAGATAATACTTTACTTTTTGCTGGTAAATAGAATATAAGAATCAGGGATCACTTTTACAGCAGGGTACCCTGAAGGGCTTGGGAGAGGTGGTCTCCCCAGAATATCATAATAACTCAGTCTGGAAAGGATTATAGATTCCTAAGACTGACGCTATAGAGCCTGGACAATGCCAGTCCGATATGCCACAATGGCTTGCACTGGTGGTAGGGCCACTAAAGAAAGACCACAGAGTGTGAGTGCAGAAAACAGATACACCTGCTAGAGCCATAGTTATCACTACTAGGCAGATGGAGAGGGTCAGGAGAATACCGCTTAGGGGCTGATGGGGTCATATCCTCTATCTCAGGATGCTGTCTGCAAAAATTCTTAGTACCATTACATGTCTACATGGAAATTATGAGACCAACCCTCTTCCTTTTAAAAACTCTGGAATGTCCTATTTCAGAGAATGGGCTTTAAGCCAACCTTTTACTTTCCCTGAAATCATTTGTCTTCCTTGCCCAGAGACTGAGCCTACGCTATGGGAAAGATAAATGTTGGGGGTGGGGAGGGATCCTTCTGAATGGAGGATCTCAGGGAACATGGTTTAGGGCTTGGCTGGGGCAGAATATGTAGGAAATAAACAATGTTAAGGCATAGGGACAGAAATTGGGGCCAATGGCTGTTTCAGAGTCATCAAACTGAGAAAGACAATATTCAAGGCAGAATAGGAAGTGAAGCCCAGCAAGATGATGATGAGAAAATGCTCCATAAACTAAAAATGTTCTTCAATATACTAAATTTCTGTGGAGTCAGACATCAAGACTTCCTGCCTGTCCCTGGGTCCCAACATGCTTCTGGCACAGAGGGCATGTGCTTTGTCATCCTCTGAAGACGTAGTCTCTGCAGAACTACAGAAGAGTTCAATCTGCCACCCCAATCCCGATCCGAAGAGAAAGTCAGGCTCTGGCTTCAGTTCTTGCGCAACATTGGTCTCCTGGGAAGTCAGAAGGTTGGCTGGAGGAAGTTGCTTGCTTTTCATTATGTAGATTTTCCTGTGGGAGCCTTTCTCTCTCATAAGCTAGGGGAAGTGAACTGGCCTGAGTCCATGGACTTCATTAAAATGTGAGCACTGTAGGAACGGAATGAGGCATCCGGCTGTGCTGCCAGACGACGCTTTTATTTCCAGCTTGTTATGTAGATACTGATCCTCTAGGGGGTGCTGTCCAAAGAAGGCTCTGCAAGCCCACCCACCAGGAGGTTTTGGAGAACCCGTCAAGTGTATTGATCCCATTTGCCATTTTGACGCCATTCCTGGGCTGGGGAGGAAGCCTTCACATCAGAACCAAGCTGTGAATTAGATTTCAGCTCTGCAGTGGGGAGAGACACTTACCCGAATCAGGTTCCTGCTTGACAGCTCTGAAATGTCTTTAGCTAAAAGCAGGGTGGGGTGGCGAGCAGCGTTTTGCGGCACTTTGCAGCTTCTGGGACGACAGACTTGCCTCTTCTCTGTGTGGTCACACATTTCCCCATTCCATACCGCTCCCAGGCTCCAGATTTTTAATGAACAGGAGGCTTTTCATTGGCTCATGTGTCCCCGTGGACGGGTGGATCTTAATAAGTATTGCAATCTATTTCCTCTCGCTTTGACTGATGACACACACAGTGGCCGTGGCGTGCAGTTGTGTGGTGCTAGGATGTAGACAAAAGAGGCTTCTACTGCAAATTTTGAGAAAACTGTCTGTCCCCATCATATGGACTCCTTTGATTTGCCTCTGAAGTCCGCTCACGTTACTAGGAATGGAGCTAGGGGAGAGCTGCTCTTTCCTCCAGGGGGGAGCCACCTGGCGGAGGTTGCCTGGCAGCCTCAGTGGCACAGGAAGGACTGGCAGCAACAAGGACCTCAGAGCCAGAGCTGTTCTTGCTGAGCTGGGTGTCAGGAGGACAGACAACTCCACTCAGTGGGAGAACACTGTAAATAAATAAATGAGGAGCACATGGAAAACTGACCAGAATCAATTGAAGGGGAGGGAGGAGCCCCCATGAGAAGAGCTTGGACAGCAGAGGAATCAAGGCTGCCTGAGCCAGGGGGGGATCTGAAACGTGACTGGGCTTTCTTCTTGGAAAATAATACATATACAGCAGTCCCTCCTACGACACAGAGGGTGCAATGCAGGGCTGTGTTTACATTTTTTCTCACCACTGGTCATTTTTGTCGTGGACAGCTCTACATATTTCCTCCACATATTTTAAGATCTTACTTTCCCCTACATTTTTACTTATCTTTTTCTCCCATAAAGAATTAAAAAAAAAATAAGATGCATCTGATTAGGGAAGACCTGGATAATTGAAGGTTCAGGAACTGGGTGTGGAGCTCCATGGTTTTTGTTAGTTTTTTCTGATACTAGACTTCCACAGAGGAGGGCCTTCAGTAGGAAGGCAGAGGGACCAGGGGAGCAGGACTCGCAAGAAAAATGCTTATTTACTGGGAAAATGTTACTCCCTTCAGCATGATTCTGAGTTCATAGAAGAAGGGGGAAAGCTAGCTATTTCTTCTTATCTCTTCATGTGTTTGCTTTTCTTCCTTCGGCCTCCTGTCTTTCATCTCTAAAATGGGCCAGATGAATAGGATACATGTTCTCAAGATGATGCCAGTCTTTTACTTCAGGACTGAAAAGCACTGCTTCTCATTTGGGGGGATTATGATAAGACAGGATGAGTCTGACAATGGAGTCATGTGATTCCAAGACGGGGCGAGCTTTTGGTGTCTGACGGACCTCATAAAGAAAGGCACCCAAGGCATGCTGGAAGAGACGTTCTAAGTAGTGCAGGCGACAGCTGGGTCACAGCTGGCCTGGACCTGCTCCAAGTTCCCTTCTTGCAATCCCCCTTGGGCTGTTTTTCTTCCCAGCTTTTCAGCCCCTAAAACACCTTCCTCCTCCACCCACATGCACCACCCCCTCCCCATTTTTATCAAAGCATTTTGAACATGGACAGCTCTTGCACATTTATTCGTTGTTCACCCACCTTAAAATAGCTCTTTGATCACAGTAATTGTCATGTTGCCTGGCTGTTCTGAGCTGCTGAACCCTGTGCTAACTCGCCATTTGATAACTCCTCGCAATGACAATCTTCCCTGAATCACAACAGATATCCCGATGATGGGTGCAACAATGGGAGGGAAGGGAATAGTCCCCTTTCTTTTCTTTTACCTTGAAAGAACAACCCAGGCACAAAGGGAGGGCTAAATCGGGTCATGGACTCCTTTATCCACCGCCACCGATGGTGTCCGGAACTGAACTGGAGACCTGCTAACTTCTTAGCCACTCCCAGCACCCCGTGAACATTCCCAGTTTCTTAATGCAAGCCTGAGAGTGTGTTAAAAATAGCTTCAGGCAGAACACATTATTTTCTTGCCCTATAAAAAAAAAAATTCACAGGCCTTGCAATGTTTCTGTGGCTTTCTCTGAGATTTTGCTTTCCTAAAAAAAATGTTTTGTTTCAGGCCCGTTGATTAGCGAGGGATAATTCTGTATGGAAATGTTAAAAATAGAGCTGAAAACCATGACTAATCAGAAAATACATCCCCCACCCCCCACCTTGATAACTAGTTGGAACTAGAAGAAGATTGCTCAGAAATTCCTGCGTAACCATCTGGAAACGGGAAGCTAGAAAAACTTTCTTCTCCTTGGAGGCAGGTAAGGTAGGGAGGGAGTCTTTACCTTTTGTCATCCTTGTACCACTGGAATTCTGCAGAGGGAACAGCTGAGGCCTCACACTGCAGTGTTCCCTTCTGTCCCACGGGGACGCCTGTCCCCTTAGCTTCTGAAATGTGCGGCGGGTCTGCAGAGAGAAGATGTGCTGTAGCATTTTAAAATGCATCCTAAAGTGAGGCAGGCTGCCTCATTCACTGGTTTTGGTGTTTACTCCCTGCTCTACCTCTGCTTGCTCAAGCTGACAAATTGTACATGAATTGAGCTAGAGTGTGAAACCACTCAACACGGTGCTCAGGAAAAGCTTGTCTTCCTAGCATGTACGGGTGCTGTTCCCCTCTGTGCGGAGGTGGAATGAGCAGGTATTCAGGCATATTTCCTGTTTAAACTTTTTAACTTTCATAGGAGAATGCCAGCCCATCAACCCTACACTCCTTTAATCAGCCTTATAGAATTTCTGCACACCAGGTTCTTGCCAGAGTCTATAACCTCAAACCATTCAATTCCCATCAAAAGCTCAGTTGCAAGAAATAATATTCATGGAGAATTGCCTGAAGCATAGACAGATCAGTTATTCTTTAAAGCATCCTAAAATGGATCCCCAAATCCAGCCAGACCGGACTAGACCTATAAACTTGGCCTGCATTCATTCGAAGTCTTTACCTAACTGCCCTTGGCAATTCCAACAGTTTACATTGAAGTGCATTATGAAAAACAGCCATAATAAACTTGGCATTCTATTTATTGCAGAAGTACCATGTGTGACGTTGTTGACTATCTCAAAGTGATCTATTTGTGGAGACACTAAAGAGAAATTTCTCTTGGGTCTCAGTACCAGGAAAAGCAGTGTTTTCCCCAAGCAACAGGTTTGCTTTCATCTTATGGACATAAACCTTAAAGCAGATGATGTTTCCCCATTTTGATTTCACAACTCAAAGCCAAATTCTGCACCTGCGTCTACCCTCCTTGAAGTATATATTTCTGGTGTTCGTTTATCTCTAGCTTTCACTTACTGTCCTAAATAGGTTCTCCGTTGTTCCCATCCCCTTACTTTCCAGGTTAATTTTTATTAACTGCAAATCATTTCAAACCCCTTTAACAAGTTGGTGGTACACATTCTGGTATAAGAATGGTAGCATTTTTATACCTATCCCCTTGCTTCCTAAAGTGCTGTGCATTAAGTAGGTTCAAATTTTAATAGGAAGCAAAACATTAAAGAATGAATAACCACCAAGACACAATATTCTTCCCACACTTCCACCCCAAAGTTTTGAAAAGGAAATGCTCCTTGTCTGCTGGGTTAGTTCTTGGGTTCTATCCTGTTGTAAGACTTCCTGAAATGAGCACAGCAGAGAAAACTTTCAAAAAGTCCTATGGAACTACTCAATTTATACTACAAGGAGTCAAGAGGAGAGAGCATGAGACACAGGTGGGGAAGTGGAGGAGGGTCAATGTCAGAGAGAATCTGATTGGTTGATAAGAGAGAATGAGGGGTCTAGAGCAGTGGTCTCCAAACTTTTCAGATTCTGTACCTCTGTTAGTCAAAATCAGGTTCTGAGATGCATCCTTTAATATGTGTATGTTTATTTATATTTAAATTATGAATGTACACTTTGTACATCAACATATGTAATCACAGAAGTATGAGATCACAGAAATACACCATAAACATGTACAATAAATTTCCATAAATGTATCATAAATTTCCTTTATACACATGGTATTTTTGCCCCCTACTATGGACATGACTGGCCTAAAGAGGGAAGAGTTAGGAAACACTATGAGCAAAGTATGGGAAAAGTTGGGATTCAAAGATGCATTTCTATAAATTGTACATTGAAAGCCATTTTATGATCTTCCAGGAATATAAGTCAAGTTCGGGATTATATTAAATTACTTTCAGCTGCAACTTTTTTTAAAACTAGAATTTGGAATTACTCCTCTTGAAAGCAGAGAATGGACAATGATATGGCACTAGTTTCCATCCTGAGTCAGCCTCTGGCTCTGTGATCCAGCTCTTTACTGTGGCCATGATAGCAGCCAGCCTCACACGCACAGGGTGGGGGTTCCTGAGACCACTTACAGTTCACGGTGACCTTTACTCTCCGGACCACTGGTGCGGCCACATCATTGGAGGCACTGCACTCATAGTCCCCCGACTGCTCCCGTGTGATGCCCTGGATTTCCAGGTACTCGTCTTCACTCACAAAGCCCACAGCTGCAGGAGAAGGTACGGTGAGAAAACAAAACACCAAAGGTATAAACTTAGAAAACAAAGTATAAAACGGTTATGTCTTCAGAGAATTGTGCCATTTCCAAGTTTCGATTCTTAAGAACGATGCCCATTCTCCTTCCCCCACCCCCTGCCCTTCTACTGCTTCCATCATCAACTTTCCTTTAGTTTCCCAGTAGAGCAGCTGAAATGTTTGTGCTCCTACCTAGACTGAACACAGAGCCTGGAGAGTTACAGGTCCTCAATAAGTGATTAATAATTTTGACATTTACATGGCCGAATCTTACCAAGCGGTGGGACTCTGGGATCTAAGTTAGGCACCATACGTGAATATTAACTCTTTCTGATTCCAAGGTATCACTAAGGCTGAACCTTGAAGTCTGGAGCTGATCACTGCATCCCAGACCATAAGTCAATTAAAAATACCACACTAACAGTTATACACACACAAGCCACAGAAGGCAGTGGCAACACTGACAAAATAAACTTAAACTCCAGCTTTTAGATTTAGACAATAAAATAAGCAAAGATCAGTTTTCTAAATTTTGATCTGCTAGAACTCTCATATAGAAGATCCTGAAGACAAACCAACAAAAAGGACACCAGACTTTAATCACAAGTACAGAAGAAAGTCAAGAGCGAGGAGACATGGTGGCAAATCTTAACATGTCATGTCTTAACCGTGACATGTTTCATGACATGTCTTCAACGTGAGACACGTTTTCTCTGTTGAAAAATTATGAATAAAAGACAACTCTCAACCTACTGGCTTCCTACTTGAGCACTAACCATGCGCATTGTCTTATGGAAACAGCAAGTTTAAAGCCTGGAAGACTGATTTCACAGTTCTCTCCCTTAGTCACTGTGAACTTCAGCCTACTTACGAAAAGGCAAGGGAGAACAAAAGGAACTGCTTACATCCCAGCATTACTCTGCCTTCTCTGTTAAGTAAAGATAGTTTGATGATATATTTTATTATGTAAACAGGGATACTTTTAAAGGTAAAAGGGGAACTATTAATAGTTACTCTGGGACAATAAAAGCATGCGTTGAAACTGTCCCAGGCAACTGAGAGACATTTCACAGGCATGTTGTACATACAGTTCTAGAACCTCACAGGGTTGTTTGGGGGTAACAAATAAAAACATACATATACACAAAAGCAATCTGAAAACTCTCACAGATTGCAAACCTGTTGCTTTAGGAAGTAAGCCTGTAATCTGCTGGGAAGCCAGACTCAGGTGGAGTGAAACTATTTTAACATGAGTGGTCCACATGAGTGAAGGAAAGAAAGGAGCATTTTTCTCTGGATGATAAGACACCCCATAATGCCACATGGATCTGCAGATCCAAAGCATGAAAATGACAATAGTAAGATACTAATATAATACAAAGAAAAACAGATATGGTATGTAAAGTTCCCATTGTATTTGTTCCATGACATCACTAAGGTCACCAGCCTTGTCAAGATAACAGTAGAAATAACAATAACAACAATTAGAAAATGACTATCTTGTCAATTACGGGCACTACCTTCCCATCCCTGTCACCACTTCTTGGTCATGAGAAGTCTGTGCCACCATCCAGTAACAAGCCCAACCTAAGCATTTCCTCATACTTCATCATGCCACATGGAACCCACACTAAACATGGGTAGACACTCTCTTGCCAATACTATCTACACGAAAGCAAAATAACAGCCTGTATCTATTACGGTAAGCAACCAAAATTCACAACAAGAACCAGGAACACATTAATAAGTGGAAAACAGGGCCCAGAAGTCCAGGCTATGGAGAGGGCAATCAACATTAAGACTCACAGTCCCAACAAGTAAGAAACTGCTAATGAGCAATAGCTTTCTTGTTACTGTTTTGTAAGCATCTTTAGGGAAAGAAGACTAACCTTGATTTGAGGAAGAGTGCAGGGAATAAAAAGAGAAGGTTGACATGAAGAAGGTGTGTTTCCTTCTATGTTGTCATTGTTTATTTTCTCCAACCTCAAGCCTACATTCGTCAGATCTTTCCCAGCTAGAATGCTATAATTACTGTGCAAAGTATCTCAGAGACCAGTGTCACACTTAATATTCCCATTAATTTTAAATGGTAGTCCTTGGTACATATGTATGGCAATTGGTGTCATATTTTAATTAGGCTTGCCCTACACCATCTGAAATTAATAATAGCTCAAATTACCAATGTAATTTATAAATTAACAGTGCCGTAGCATTAGGAAATAAATTAGCTCTGGACAGCTGTTTCCAGACTAAGCTCCAGTGTCAGAGCAGTGATTGGTAGGAACTCACATATCCTGGGAGGCTGTGTACTATACCACCAAAGCATATCCAAACATGGTAACAGTATTGATTTATCCACACAGTGTAGCTCCTGAGGGCCTGGAGTTATACGGAAGAGCTGATCATGGTTGTCAGCACCACTGAGCTGACTGCACCACGGGAAGGGGGCAGTTCCCGAACCCTCAGTGGGCCCCAGAGGACCGATGGCTGATAATTCCCTTCTTGGTGCTTCAGATTCCTTCTCTGTCAAATGGGGTACATGATGCTACTTTATAGGGTTACTGTGAGTATTAAATAAGCAAATATGTGTAAAGTCGTTAGAACAAAGCAAGTTCTCAATAGACGGCAGCTACCACTGATAGCACAACTCTGTTTGAGCACATTTTCATGTACAAGATCCTCGATACAGGAAAATCTCAAGGTAGAGATGAAAGAATAATCAGATCTCTGCTTTTCTAGTAGGAATTTAATAATAATAAACTTTACAAAGGATTCACCACAGATCCTTTAACGAGAAAGTTCTACTCCCTTCACTTAAAATAGGATTTGATTTACAAGGGATACAAATTCATGGGATCATTTCTTCTAGGAAAGCTGGTGTAGCTGCACAGCCCATGTGAGACCTGATGAGGATTTGAGAAATGTCTCTAATTTCACAATTAAGAATAAAAGGAGACATGGATACAAATACATAACCTATCTATATTCTATCTATAGATGCCAACTGTAAACTGTATGTCTATAGTCTATCTAATCTTTTTATGTTATCTATATGTGTATAAATATGGAGATATATATTTATATTTATATTCAGCCTTTCCCCTCGATACAGAGGCTACAGCTGACAGAAAAGAGAGTCTGAGGATCTCTCCAAGAATAAGTGAATTTATAAGATCTCTTTCAGAAAAAAGTTCTAGAGGGCCCAACAGGCTTAGACTAGCCCTGAGGTACGGCCTCAAATATTCACTATGAAAGTTATTCTTGGTAGCAATATAGGGACCACATTTGGGGGACAGGACAGACTGACTAGTTCTAAACACCTGGCTTCCACCGTGGAAGAGGGCTCTTCCCAAAACATGGTAGTATTTGTTGCTAGAGAGCCAGGAGCTAAGACTGCTGAGTGTACAACCCATGGCAATGTCCCCATGTCATTACTGCCCTGACACTGTCAGATCTGTACTGATGTCATATGGCCTCTTCTTATAGCTGGGAAACTTATCATTCCCCTCAGTTTTCTGTTAGATACCTAAGAGTGAGTTGTTCAGAGCAACATCAACTGGTCACAGCACCTCTTGTACCATGCCCTACACACAGAAGATACCATCCCCCAGGCAGCGTCTATGCTCATTATCTTCTCTGCTTAAGATCCAAATGCAAGTTGAGAGTTGAAAAATTAATCTATTAACCTGAATCCATCATAAACCGATAGCGATCCAATAAAGTATTACATAAACTGATGCCAATTATAAATTGCATTTCTATCTATTATCTATCTATTATCTATCTATCTATCTATTATCTATCTATTATCTATTATCTATCTATTATCTATTATCTATCTATTATCTATCAAGATAAAAGCGAGACACTTAGCATAGATCCTGGCATATAGCAAGAAGTTAGTTGAGGGGTGTCTGGGTGGCTCAATCGGTTAAGTGTCTGTAAATTGTTAAACCTCTTGAGTTTGGCTCAGGTCATGATCTCAAGGTCATGAAAGTGAGTCCCCCATTGAGCCCAACATGGAGCCTGCTCAAGATTCTCTTTCTGCCCCTCCCTTCCCTGCATGTACATTTTTTCTCTTCCTCTAGAAAACAAAGAAACAAACAAATAAAACCTCATTTGATAGTGGAAACTGAGTGTGTGTGTGTGTGTGTGTGTGTGTGTGTGTGTGTATGATTTTGTTTATTTTTATTTGTCATAGAGAAAGAGAACTAAAGAGTGAACACAAGCAGGAGGAGTGGCAGGCAGAAAGAGAAGCAGGCTCCCTGCTGAATAAGGAGCCAGATTTGGAACTTGATCCCAGGATCCCGGGATCATGACATGAGTAGAAGACAGATGCTTAACCAACTGAGCCACCCAGGTGTCCCAGTATGTGTGTGTGTGTGTGTGCGTGCATGTGCGTGCACACACACACACACACACACACACACACACACGTATGCATTTATCATATATATGTATGATTCATATGTTATTTGAATATGTGTGAATATGCATGTATAAAATGTAATCGATAATTATACTGATATATAGAAGGGCAAAAGAAAGAATTTCTTTGATATTTGAATTTTGAAACTTTCTGGGATTAATCATTAGTGATATATTAAGGAGGAGCTGAATCTCAAAATGTAATTATATGAAAACGAGCCCTGGGACTCCACAGAGCCAAGCCCTGTGTTTCTCTGTGGCCTGTCCCTTCCTGTCATGACATGACACTAGTACTCTAAGCAGATGCTGCTTCAGAAGCTGGCTGGGCCCTGGGAATAGTGTGCTCTTCTGTGTGCGTTTTCACGAAGGCTGTCAGCTCGGTTTTGCATGCAGACCCTCTATTATGGGTGATGATATCAGAGTCAGAAAGCACACAGCTGGATGTTTGGAGTTTGCAGCTTGATGTCTGGAACCTGGGTATTTGCAGCAGTGCAGCTGATGGCTGCTAAAAAAAAATAAATAAAGAAATCAGCTTTTGATTTGT